CAGCAGGAAGGAGAGAAAGAAGAGATGAGGTATATCAGGAAGAAAGTTGATAGCAAATGGTGTTTTGAACAGCCTGTATCCCCCAGTGCAATATATTATGGAAATAATGATTCTGACAAGTTACGCTTCTTTGTAACCTGAAGTGATGCAGCAGGGATTATGCATGCTCAAGTCATTCAGGACTGGGTACTTAGTTGTCTAGAAATGCTGTAAGAAATGTCTTCATCATGAACAACTTTGTAATAGATGTAGTGGCAAGAACTAGATTACTAAAAGAAAAAAATATTGCAATATATTATGGAAATAATGATTCTGACAAGTTACGCTTCTTTGTAACCTGAAGTGATGCAGCAGGGATTATGCATGCTCAAGTCATTCAGGACTGGGTACTTAGTTGTCTAGAAATGCTGTAAGAAATGTCTTCATCATGAACAACTTTGTAATAGATGTAGTGGCAAGAACTAGATTACTAAAAGAAAAAAATATTGGAAACAGGTTTATTATTATTATTATTATTATTATTATTATTATTATTATTGTTGTTGTTGTTGTTGTTGTTGTTTAGCTAGCAATAGGAACAAAAATCACATTTTTAATTCCATTTTTAAAGAGTTATCTTTTTTTGTTTGATTTAAGACTATTTTATCTTGTATTTAGAAATGAATTATATGCTTTAACTCATTTTCAAGCTTGCTCAAACATAGCTTTTTCAAAACCATACATAGGTTGCTCATTAATTAACATGGATAGGCAATGAGAAGTGGCTAAAGGTTTAAAAGGATGTGTCAGAAGCCAGAACAGATAAAACATGAATGCAAAACAGTATGTAACAAAAGCACAGAGAGAATACGGAGGAAATTATTATACTAGAATAAAGAACAAGATGCTTCTGACCTGTACACTCTCATTAACCACAGATCAAGAAATGCAACCCAAAAGGCAGGATAAAGATAGCATACACATCCAACCTCTCCTGTCAATAGATTGTCTTACGTGGTTGCTCTAGTTTACAGAGTTTCAGTAGCAACAGACTGATGTACCTTGCCAGAGAATATTCTGGCTTCAGCCAGTCTGATGATTCCCTTCTTCCCCCAACAAATTTGGGGACACAAAATAAGCTTAGGTAACATATTGCATTTTTGAAGTATTGAGTGGTATGGAAATTATATACAGCATAATATACCAACATATACAGTCTGCAGGGTTGGACTTCCTCATCTTCCTCATGTGGTTCTGCTACCAATGAAAAGTAGCACAATTTTTTTAGTTAAGGGGAGGAAAAAATCCAAAACACACACATAAAAAAACCAACCCAAACCAAAACTAGTTTTTAATCTGACCATGCTTTAATGAAAAGAATATTAATTGACAGGAAATACATTTAGGAGTGCATTTACTTAAGGGTTTTGAATGCTTTCTTGCAATGTTGATAAATCACTGAGCTTTTGTTTTGATTGGAAGTTGGATATGCCTGTTCGTGACGTACTTTATATAGATGTTAAGTAGGAATCTTACATAGTATGTTTCTTTTCCTTGATTAAAATTTTCCCCCTCCTTTGTTCCTCCTTCTCTGCATTGCTGTTCTTTCCCCACAAATGCAGAGTTAACTAATACCAGAGGAAGCGAGTTCATTTTGCTTCACTGCTTAAAAAAAATGAGTGCTATGACCACCGGAATGAAAAAAATTGATAAGCTAAAACAAAAGGCAACAAATGTTGCGGACAAACTCTGGTGACCTAGGCAATACAAAATTGTTTCATGATAAGTATGAACATTAACAATTTTGGACATCTAAAAATGTAAAATTAGTAATTGGAAAACATTTATCTGGATGAGATAGAACTTTATACATGAAATATAATGACCTATCTGAAATTCAGCCGGGATGCTGTGATACTCGTTTAGACAAAGAAGACAACTAGTTAATGACGGCAAAGAAAACTAGCCAGAGTGAATCAGTTTACTGCATTCCAGACTCTTAGATACTAAAAAGAATATATTCCACTAATTAGAGAGTGAAAATACTCTAAGGTTTTAGAAAGAGAGTGCAAGAAGAATGAAAGATAGCGATCCTAGCTTTGGAATGGTGTGTCAACCCATGGTGTTTGCATGGTACAATTATATGTTTTTATCAGTTAGGCAGCCTACATTAAGGAGTCTTCAATTTTTATTATATTGATTATATACAATATAATAGTAACAAAAATTATCATGCATGGCTTCAATCCTTAATTTTCATGGACCCCTGGAGCCTCTAATGAAATGTAAATAAATGTAATTTAAAAACCTACATGAATATGCATGTTACAATTAAAAAGGCTAGAAACTTCACAAATAAAGTAATTAGCAATCAAATTTTAAGGCTTTTTTTTAGGATTATTGCTTGATAGTGCTGTAGATACTTTTAATTTATCATTATATTTTTGTCCTTAATTCTACACGAGTGTGCGTTCTAGATGTTTTCTTTCTATGTTCTTTAGATTAAATAGAGGAAAGTGTGTGTGCTGAAGAATCTTAGAATGGAAATTCTTCTAAATAGACTCAAGGTGAATGGTAAAAGAGAAAGTAAAATTCACCTGCTTGTTGCATGGGATAAGAAACCTGTCTTATATGAAGACTGTACATCATTTTACAAAGTGAAAGCTTTATATAGTTATTAAATAAGTTTATTCTTTTTTTTACCTAGAAAACGATTTTAAAAATTCAGAATTTTTTTGTTCCAACAAATATTCAAATATAGAAACAGTACTAGATTCTATACTTGAAAAAGATATAAATAAATTTATCTCTAATTTTCCTTTCCTTTCCTGTGTCTCAGTCGGCTCTCTAAATATGACCAACTTCTTCTGCATGTAAATGTCATTTTGCTTTTAACTTCAGGGACCTGAGGATCAGGTCCTCTCTTTATCTATCTTGTGCATGAGCAGCTTTACACCCTTGACTTATTTCCACTGATTTGGAAGAGAACAAGATCAAGTTCTGCACAATTCCAATGCCATAGTTGTTTTTTTAAAGAGCTATGGTTTTACAGAACTTCTGTGCTACTTTCATATAGGCAGTACGTATGTTTGAGGAAAAGTGTGATGCTGGGCTTCCTTTGGAACTGCATGTAAGCAGAAAATCTGCTGTCTTTCTTTTTTGATAAACATGAGATAAGCTGATAAAGCAAGTTACTTTTTCAGTCTCTCACATTTTGTTACATTCTCTCTTAAACATTTTTAAAAGAGAGCCAATGGCTCTATAATGCTTTTTCATTGTTGGTTTTTTTTAATTTCAAAAGGTGCTTGTTTGTGGGTGATGTTTATTACGAAACTCTGTGTATGTGTGCATGCGTGCAAATGTGCATGGATATATGTCTCTGCAGAATGAGGTGGAGGAAGATAGTGTCCCCTTTATTTCTTAAGATCTACTTTTAAAATTGTCTCACACTTTCAAAAAATTCCAAGACCAAATGTGGAAACTTCAGCTCTAAAGGGACAATGTCCTGGAAAGGTCTGAACTAATGAAAAAGAGGGGGTTTAGTCTCTTATTAGAGTTGTTTTCATCGCCAAATTATGCCACAATGAGATAGTGAGACAGATTATTTCTTAAGCAGAATTGAAATCAGTTCTATGAAATCAGCCTAAAATGTGATTTTGTTTCTAAAGCATTTTTTTCCTTTATGCATATTTTAGAAACATACGCAATATTTAGACTCTTAATTTACTACGCATCAATCTAAAAATCTACCTTGCTATATTAATCAGAATTAATTTGCCAAATTGTTATTCCTATCCCATCAATCGCAGTTTTGCACTGACTTGAACAATGCCACTTTTTGCTGTTTGCACTTTAATTCGATTTCCATTCTAAGTTTATGAACAGTAATAGGGTCCTGCTTGAATATTCATTAGCTTTGAATCGTGAGCTATGAAAAGGTGCTTTCTTTTACCTTAATGAAAGTGGCTCAGCATGGGGCAGATGAGTAATGACATTTGATTTTAGGCATCCAACAAATTTGCTTTTTATTTATTGACACATCTTGTCCAAACAGCTCCTTCGCAAGTTAGTGGAGTAATGAAGGAGAGAGTGCTGCAGAGGAGCGTGGAGCTTTCCTGGCAGGAACCAGAACATCCCAATGGAGTCATTACTGAATATGAAATCAAGTATTATGAGAAAGTAAGTGCTAAGATTATCTGTAATGTAGAACAATGTGCAGTTTTCTTCATGTTGGCTTGCTGTGTTGTGGAACAATGTGAAAGCCATCCACTAGCAACTATCCTGTCTTCAAAGTCACAGTGATTTTGCTCATTTTTAATAACTAGCGAATCCCTACAAATATTACTGTCATATGTTCCCTACATTGTATTATGGTACCCTAAAAATGAAATATCCTCTTAAAATCTGCCTTTTTTCCTACTTTTTTTTTTTATTATTGTTAATTTGGACTTGGATAATTTACCGTAGTATTTGTCATTTTCCTGTCTCTTCTACATTGTGTATAAAGCTTGTTTCATTCCCTTCTGTGTCACTGTAATTCCAGTCTTGAGATGATATATCAAATACAACTCCTGACTGCATTCGATATTTCCTTATGTGCTGGACCACTTCAACTTGATGTCTGAATACTTCCGAAACACTTCCTACAATTTCAGCTGATAAATATTCCTTATTTGTCCTTTTAAAATGTCCCAGCATTGTGATACTTATTTTTTAACTTGTTCTCTCAACACAATAATGAATTGAGGGCTGCTTTTCAACAGCAGATGGAGTGATCTCTGTTTCTGTTAGAGTGAAATTGCAATCTTATTGATGTCAGTCGGAGTTTTGTCATTCGTTTCAGTGTGTCTACAGCTTCATTCATGATAACTTTGAAGTACTCCAGAATAAAAAATATCTGACAAACATATAAGTAGGGCCACATGCAATTGGGAACCAGATGAAAGCAGAGTGAAGGCAGGTTGTGCAGCTACATGTTTGTCATGGGACTCGGATTAAGTGTGAGTCCTCCAGATTCCCGGGAAATTTACTGCAGCATGTAACATATTCATAAATTTTATGAAACGCTTTGGGAGAAAAAAGAAAGAATTAAAATGCAAAGAAATGAACAAAGGAGCTTCTTTGTGATCACCTGTGAAGACATTTCATCTCTGCACAGAAGGTAATAGTATCAAAAAGAGGACGTCAGCTTACTAGGTAACCTGTAAGTAGATAAATTCAGACCAGATTGGTTCTAATATCAAGTGTCATATCTAATTTTCAGTATTGAATTACACAAATATACTTATCAAAAGATTTTTATATGATTTGGGAAGGGAATAAAATGTTTATTTGTTCATGCTAACTCCCAGTTTAAGTTGTTCACTTTAATGACTTGTAACAAAATTTACCAGGTATGTACAGACAGCTAAACAATTTTTTTAAAGAAATTTCACTAATTTTAGCAGGTATCTTTTCTTCCTCAATTACGTGTTTGTGCACACACACAAATAAAGTGCATACATTTAAAAATAAAGTTTTCATATTTACCAAATGCAAAACTGTTCTCCACAGAAAAAATAATCAAAACCCCAAAGTACAATCCAAGAAACTTGATTCTTTTTACATGCAGAGTAGTTTCTAATCTGCTAAAATGAAATAAATAATTTAAATAGGTAGTGGAAGATGACAGAAAAATGCACAAGATACTAGACTTTTCATAAAATTATAACTTTTAAAATGTAGCTTTTATTATTTTCCGTATACATTCATATTGCTTTAAATAAGCAGCAGAATTTCAGTGCCAGTTTCCTATGTTTGCAAAGACAAGAAGTGATGTTAAACTTCTTTTATAATGGCAGGAAACTTACCTGTGTTATACTTTTCATAGTGAAATCAATAAAAGAGAATAAGCAGCTCATCCTACAAACAGTCACAGAAAAACTGAACTATGCATCTTTAATTCAGTGAGACAATTTTAACACAAATACTTAAATGCTTTCCTTCCTTCCAAAATATTGCAGTTCAGCTTGGAAAGTACTTGTTAAGCTTCTTGCTCAGTTTAAATTTTATTCCATTATTTTAAAGGAAAAAAAGAGAACTGAAATTTCAGCTTCTTTTACAGCCAAATTAAATCAAACATTTTTGCGGTTCTGTAATATTCTGATAAGTGTTTTTTTCACCTCTCACTTCTGGCTAGGGCTGGAATGGAAACTGCCTGAAATCTCCCAAGTAAGCCTGTCCTGTGAGATTTCTAGTGCAGTTGATTTTTATTTCTTTGTTATTTATTAATTTTGAATGCAAGAACTGTTGGCAATTCAAGTTAGCCTTGTTTATGCATCAAAACCCATACTCTGAAATTCCACTGCGGCTTACAGTCCCGAACCTGACTGTTTATGGTTTTCTTACACTTGTTTCTCATCCCTCAAGCATTCCTGTTCTTTCTCACATACCAACACACATTCCACCATGGTCCTCACTTACAGATGATTTAAACCCTCTTGGAAAAGACATGAAAAATTGTTGTTAGCCAAGCCAGCAGGCTTGCTCAGATGACAGACTGGGCAAGACCCGGGAGAAGCCATTACTGAATCTCAGAAAATAAATCATATAAATTGTATTTAACCCTGTATTCCAGCAACAGCCTTTGCTGCTTTCCTCTCTGCAAAGGGGAAGGTCCTCCATGATTTTCAGCTGGTGAAGTGCTATTGAAATGAGTTACAGATTTATTCCTTCCCTCTATATCTGTCTCATTAGCACTGCCTCGCACAGCTCATGCTTCTCTGGTTGTGTGGTGCATTCAGATGGTTCGTTAATTCATCTCTTCTGCCCGGGTTGCATCTGCCACCGAAAATCAACAGGGCTGCACGTATCTGTGCTGAAAGATAATCTGGATCAGTAAATGTGATGAATAAGTAGAGCTTTTTGAATACTGTAATGATCTGTGATACAGCTTTTGTAGTATTTGAAAGTGAGTTATTACTCATAGGGTTTGTAATCTTACAGCTTCAGATTTGAGGGGTGTCATACTGAGCTTCTTTCCCTGGGTTCTTCTTGATGCCATAGAGTCAAAAACTAAGAAAAGACTAAAAGCCAGAGGAAAAAACAACCAAGTGAAAATGGAGTTAAGGACCTCAGAATTTGGTGCAAAATCCAGCCATTGACAGCATTGTATTTTTTGAAGGTGTTGGAAGATAGCAAGGGAAGGTGTTCTGACCATAAAAAAACACATTTCCCTGTCCTTGAACTGTTTAGGCCATGCAGATCCCCCTGGAAAGCTGTGGTCAAGTTATTTTCTCATCAAAATTTCACAAAATGTAATCAGAACCAAAGAAGAAATCATTTTATGTCTGGATGTTTTAGGAGTAGCAACATAAGCATCCCATTTGAATTTTATGTTACACTTAGAGCTCCTCATCGCATTGACAGCGTTTTGTAATACTCCACAGAGTACTCTTTATTTTTTATGTTGGGGAAAAAAGCATTCAACAAATTGAAATAAACTACCCAGGCTGGCTGTCAGTTGCTGATGCGCAACCATGATAAAATTTGACCTGTAAATGTCATTTAGTCTTTTGTCTTATTGTTTCCAGGATCAAAGGGAGAGGACCTATTCAACAGTGAAAACCAAGTCCACTTCAGCTTCTATTAATAACCTAAAGCCAGGAACAGTGTATGTTTTCCAGATTCGTGCTTTTACTGCTGCAGGTTATGGAAATTATAGCCCCAGACTGGATGTTGCCACCCTAGAAGAAGCCACAGGTAAACAATTAGATTTATAGGCAATTAGCACTTTCCATAGAAGTAGTAATTAAAGCAAGAAAGGAAAGAGTTATAGGCCATATAATTGAAACTAGAAAGAATGAAATTCAATTGAAGGTGGATTTTTTGAATTGTATTTTGAAGGGTGAGCTTCAATTTGTTTTTTTACCATAGAACTACAAATTGCACTCTTACAATTAGCCAGATTTGTAACCTATCAGCTTCTTCTCTTCTGATGTCCTTCTAACACAAAGAAGTTTTTTCTTTCATTCAAATACACACCTCTTTCCCCCCACAGAAGAAGTGAGTAGTGGAGAATAACCCTGCTAGATTCTACTGTAACTGGGGAAAGGAGGGAAGAGGAGCCCATAAAGGCTTTTCCAGGTCATTTTTTCACTGTTTAATTTCCTGAAAAAAACTCTTTATAGTTTTGTTTATTTATGTAGCTTTTTTAAACTGTACGTCCATGCTTAGTGTCTTTTGAGTTCATTGGCTAGTTTCAACTTGGTTTAGTAATGAAACAGATGTCTCAAAGACACTAGGTTTCTTTAAGGCTCATGTAATAACTTGTAAGCTGCATAAAGAAAAACAACCTCTCAAAAACTCTCACAATGGAAAGTATGAAGCTGAAGTACAAGCTCTCTCAGTACAGTATACCAGAGAATTTGTCTGTGACTCCTCAGGAGAGGTATAACATTTGGGAGAGCTTGTGCTTTCCTTGATGCTGAAACCAATCTTGTGCCCTCATGTGTCTAAAAATCACACTGATATCTTTTCTCCTTACCAATGTAGATATGCACATACATGCTTAGAGAAAATCTTTCACCTTTTGGGTCTTCAGAAAGAAACTTTTCCATCACTGAGGACTGGCAGCCATGAGCCCATTGATGGGAACTGCCTGTGTCCCTGGTAGCTTCACCACTCTGTTGCAGACCCAAATTTGGTTACTCTGTTTAGGGTTATTTGCTTCAGGTTGACCTGCCTGACAGCAGATCAGCCAGATTTGGAGCTGAGTATTCATAGCCTACAGGTTCAAAGGATATGGATGCAAACTCTACTCTCTGCTCTCTATACAGCATATCTAAGGTGTGGATACACACTATTGCAGCTTATTTATTTCAGCCAGGTGTTGGCTGAGAATTTTGTGCATATTCTTAAACCACAGTATTTAGGTCTTGATTCCACTGTGGTTCTACACAAAATATGAAAACTGTCAATAATGAATAGCACATATCTAATAGAGATAATTGAAATAGTAATTATTATAATAGCAGCAACAAACCATTATTACTAATATTACTAGTTCTGCATCTGATAGCATACTTTCCATCTATAGAGTTCTGCTTTAGAAAGAGTCAGTAGCAGAATCCCCATTTTGCAGAATGGGAACCAGAGGTACAGCCAGATGTAATGTCTTATTTTGAGTAGATTTCTGGAAAACAAATTAAAAGCCTGTCATAATCTGTCATCAGTTTCTGTTAATTAGCTAATTGGTTGTCCATTGTAGTTTCAAATTAGTAGACCAAAATGTTTCCCCAACATTTCCTTAATTAACTGAGTGCTTTTTATATAGTGAATGCAAGCATACTGGAAGCCATGAAGGTTAGCAAAGATAATTTCAAAGGTAAACAGTCTTGACTGGAGTTTGGTCAACATATCGAAGACTAGGAAATCCTAGAATAAATGCATCACTGAGCATGCTCATATACCCTTTTTCTGACCCAGGTGAAGAAAAACTGTGTATAAACCAGTGACATGCTTGGCCAATATGCACAGCAGATTTTTCTCTTGTGACAGGCCAGCTTTGTGTTTTGACATGCCATCTAAGACGTCCTGTGCTTTCATTAAAGAAAATCTTAAGAGTGGCATATTTTCCATTATCTTCAGAGGACATTATAGAATATAATTCCCATCAAAGATAAGCATCCACAGTTTTCCATATACAGCTTTCAGAAATAAATAAAATGTTGGTAAAAAGATACTAAATTCCATTAAATTCTTTTGGAATTATTTTACACAAAAATATCTGTTTCTCATTTTTTATTTATAGTTTTATCAGAACTTGCAGGCTAATCAAATCAGCATTTTTTAACATTTTAAAGGGACACTTTTATTAGATCATTTTAAGGAAATATACCTCAGATGAAGTACTGTAGACGTGAGCAGTAAACCACTGTTATGCTACAGTTTAGAGACATTGGCTTCTCATTACTCCAGTGGATTACTGAATGCAGCTCTTAAATATGTCTAAGTTTTTTCAGAATATGTGTATTATGACAGTATATATACACACACATGTGTATTTCTGTAAGACTACATCAATGGAGAAGCGAAGAGCTATGGATGTAGTCTATCTGGAATTCTGTAAGGCCTTTGACACAGTTCCACACAACATCCTTCTCTCTAAATTGGAGAGACATGAATTTGATGGGTGGACTGTTTGGTGGATGAGGAATTGGCTGGACAGTTGCATCCAGAGGGTAGTGGTCAACAGCGCAATGTCCAGATGGAGATCAAAGACAAGTGGTTACCCTCAGGGGTTCATATTGGGACCAGAACTCTTTAATATCTTCATCAATAACCTAGATAGTGGGATCGAGTGCACCCTCAGCAAGTTTGCAGATGACACCAAGCTGAGCGGTGAGGTTGAAGTGTCTAAGGGACGGGATGCTGTCCAGAGGGATGTGGACAAGCTCGAGAAGTGGGCCCATGTGAACTTCATAAAGTTCAATAAGGCCAAGTGCAGGGTCCTGCATGTGGGTTGGGGCAACCTCCAGTATTAATACAGGCTGGGGGATGAAGGGATTGAGA